GTTGATTGATGTCAGTAGGTGGCAATATGTAAATACTAAACACAACCCAGCAGACTTGGCTTCTAGAGGGCTAAGCCCAGACAAATTGGTGAGCTCAAAGATTTGGTGGACAGGTCCAGATTTTTTAATGTGCCCTAATTCTGAGTGGCCTGTTGTGAATTTTAATATACCTAAGGATGAGCTGCCAGAAATTAAAAGGAAAATAACAATACTAACGACCACAAGCTTAGATAGTATTTTTACCCGATTTTCTGATTTAACTAAACTTAAACGAGTCATAGCCATGTGTATAAGATTTTTTAACAATATAAAAAACAAGAAAAACAATGCTTTGAAAACAGGTTGCTTGACAATTGAAGAGCTGGATAATGTAAACATAATTTTAGTGAAATTAGCCCAGTCAGAATCTTTCAGTATGGAATTGAAGGCTTAGCCAAGAATAATACTTTAGGCCAAAACCACAGACTTTCCTCCTTATCCCCATTTCTTGATAAAGATGGAATTTTACGTGTAGGTGGACGCTTAAAAAATACATATTTACCTTATAACTTCAAACATCCTATTTTGCTTAATTCTGTTCATCCACTTACTAAGTTAATTTTCGAACATAAACATAAATATTTGCTCCATCCTGGTCCGCAATTACTACTTGCATCTATTAGACAATTTTATTGGCCTATTGGTGGTGGCAATTTGGCAAAGAAAACAGTAAAGGCTTGTATAACTTGCTTCAAATTTAACCCTAAACCTGCACTATATCCAATGGGAGGATTACCAGATACACGTATTACAACTAGTTTTCCATTCCAAACTACTGGGATTGACTATGCAGGTCCTTTTTTCATTTTAAATAAACCAGGAAGAGGTGCTAAACTAATTAAATGTTATTTATCTGTATTTGTCTGTTTTTGTACGAAGGCTGTACATATGGAAATTGTTAGTAATTTGACAAGTGAAGCATTTTTAGCTTGCCTTAAAAGATTTATCTCACGTAGAGGTTTGCCATCTACAATTTATTCAGATAATGGAAGTACCTTTAGAGGAGCGAATAATGAGTTAAAGGATCTTGGTACTTTCTTACAAAAAAATCAAAATGAATTTATTAATTATACATGTAATGATAGGATAAAATGAGTATTCATTCCTCCATACACACCTAATTTTGACGGGTTATGGGAGTCAGCTGTCAAGAGCGCAAAACACCACTTAAAAAGGGCTCTCATAAATAGAAACGTCACATTTGAAGAGTTCAATACCCTGGTGATTCAAGTGGAAGGGATACTGAATTCTAGACCACTTTTTTCAATGTCAGATAATCCAAATGACCTTCTTCCAATCACCCCATCCCATTTCCTGATTGGTCGTACTATTAATTATCCTCCTGAACCTAACCTGTTGAACGAGAAATCCAGTGTCATGACCAGGTTCAAACACGTCCAGAAGCTGTTTCAGCAATTTTGGAAACAGTTTTCAACGCAATATATTTCCCAACTTCATGTCCAGTATAAATGGAAAGAAGCTCCTACAAATGTCAAAGAGAGTAATTTGGTCCTCATCAAAAATGATGCCAAACCTCCATTCAAGTGGCCTTTGGGACGAATTATGGCTCTACATGCAGGAAAAGATGGAATCAAGAGGGTCGCCGAGATTCAAACTGCAACTGGTAGAACTACCCGATCTGTACGCCATCTTTGCCCACTACCGCTTCAAGAAGAAGTCAACAATGGTTGATTATTTGATACATATACGCATCAATTATCTTTGTTTAATTTAATTTAATTTATTTGCAAGTTTATTTATTTATTTATTTGTTTTTTGAAGATATTCTTCAAAGGTGGGAGTATGTACAATTTGTGAACCTGAGTACAATTATTTATTTTTGTGTACAATTGACCTTTTCAATTTAGAAGCCTCTCTCTCTGGCGTCAGACTGTCAGATGCCAAAAGAGTATGAAAAGTATGAAAACAATGATTGACAGCTATTGACAATGGTTTGTTGACAAGAGTTTTATACGTGTGAGACTGGAAACTATTATTTCCTCGGTTTTTTCAAAGTTTTTTCCTAACAATGGTGATTGTGTGTAGTGTGCCTTTTCGTGAAAATAATTCCTATTCACCGGCGGACGTGTCTTTCCATAAGTTTTCATCAAATCCTACATTTATCAAAGTATCAAAACTGATACTCGCAAAAGTAAGGGAAATCCACGATCCATCAAGTATACAAAGATACCCACGTTCAAGTTTAGTTTGCCGAAGCTGTTTGCTTCCCACATTTTCTTTCCAATTTCAAATTTCACGATTCTATGTCGGTCATTGTCATTCTCCATTCACTGAACAAAGATACCTAACTCATCGGTGGAGTCACCGATTAGAATAAAAACGGGGATTGCTAAACACCCTATACACTTGACATTGACGAGCAAGCAAATGTTGGCGGGAATCTGAATGTTTTCATACTTTATCGTCCATCTCTTTTAATTGAAAACGTCAATTACTTCCTATTTAGTACAATTGGTTATTTTGTTTTCACAACCCTTATTTTTTTTTGACGCCTATGTCGTCTGTCAATTATGTCCAATTTTTCTGACTTTGAGAGATACATATGATTTTGTTAGCATGTTGTTTTTTTGCAATTAAAAAATGATACCTTTGATAAAAGGAATCCAAAAACATCCAGACTTTTATTTCACAAATTAATTAAAAAAGTCGAGTAACAATTAAAAAGAAAGATTACCAGCCGATTTCCACCCACTAGCTCCTGCCGCAATCGTCAACTTCATGTCATGATGTCTGTCATGTAGCGATTTCATTTGTACCTGTTGTTGTTTTTTTTTATTTCCCAAATGTTAAAAGGAGAAGAGTATAAGTATAGGTAGTCAAAGTTAAAAGTGAAAAGGATAGTTTTAATTTTCGGTGCTGTGAGCATACTGGTGACGTCATACTGAAGAGTATCAAATTAAAAAAGTTTTTAATTGATATCTTGAAAACTGTTGGGTATTGAACATTAGCGCAATGATCACTTTTGTTAAGGACGACTCCCTATACACTGTATCAAAAATTCAGCAAAATTCCACATAGATCACTTTTCCATAAGAAATGTGCGGGGTCCTTTAAATTTTCTCATTATACAGGGGTTGCACAAAAGTAAGAGTGAGTTTCCTAAACATTCTCAAACGGCTTTAGCTTGAGAACGATTTTGGAAGCTTATTTTATGGAAGTTAACTCTTTTATTTTTTTTAATGGAAAACTTTGCATTATACAGGGAGAATTATTTGGCTATTTTTGGAAATTGAAATGTTTTCATTATACAGGGGTTGCGTCAAAGTAAACCTGAGTTTGACAAAAATTCTCAAACGGCTGTAGCGTGAAAACAATTTTGGAAGATCATTTTATGGAAATTAACTATCTTATTTTTCTAATGGAAAACTTTGCATTATACAGGGATTACCGAAAAATAAACTTAATTTTGCAAAAAAATGCTTGAACGGCTGTAGCTTGAGAACGCTTTTGGAAACTCATCAGTTTCTCTCATTTTTCACGACCTGGCGTGACTTTTTTTGCATAACATACCCTTTTAGTATACACAGATCAAGCATAAAAACAAAATTAAAATTGCCCAAAAATGGTTAGTACTGGTAGTTTTGAAATTATGCGAATTGGCTTATTTTCCAAACTTGCTGTTCAAACGTCGAAAAAGTGATTTTACTTTGTTGATTAGTGCTCTTTGGCTACCGATACGCTAGTTTTCTTATATTGTTGGTAATTGAATAGCATTGTTTCGTCAGTTACAGCCATTCAAGCATTTTTTGCAAACTAAAGTCTACTTTTCGGTAGTCCCCGTATAATGCTAAGTTTTTCATTGAAAAAATAAGAGAGTTAACTTCCATAAAATCATCTTCCAAACTTGTTTTCACGCTACAGCCGTTTGAGAATTTTTTTCAAACTCAGGTTTACTTTTACGCAACCCCTGTATAATGAGAACATTTTAATTTCCAAAAATACCCGAATAATTCTTTCTGTATAATGCAAATTTTTCCATTAGAAAAAATAGGAGAGTTAACTCCCATAAAATAAGCTTCCAAAATCGTTCTCAAGCTAAAGAAAGCCGTTTGAGAATGTTTAGGAAACTCACTCTTACTTTTGTGCAACCCCTGTATAATGAGAAAATTTAAATTTCCAAAAATAGCCGATTAATTGTCATAAAATGAGCTTCCATTGTGGGAAAACGTTTCACAATCCAATAAACCGTAAGCCACATCGTTCCAACATTGTGGTGCTAAAATGGCTTTTCAGGAAACTCTTATGCAAAAAATGAAAAAAGTGTTCCGAGATATTGGCTCAGAGTATCATCTAACCAATTTTCAAAGAAAACAAAAGGCATACAGATCAATTTCTATAGAGTTGAAAGAACAATTATCATAATTTGCCTAATTTGAGGTGTATTTTTTCCTCGACCCCTGTATAATGTAAACAGGGCCATCTGCAAAAAAAGCAAGCGAGTGGTGGCACCTCTAAAAAAAATGGGCTTTCAAAATCTGCAAAGATGTTCGAAATCAATACGACCGTTTTCAAGATACAGCCCTATAAATATTGTGCTTACAAGATTTTGTCAACTTTGTTATGTAATATTGTATCTGTTGCCAAAGGGCACTTATCAAAAAACTGGCAAAAACGTCTGGAGATATTGATATCAACTTACTTAAGGCCTATACAGAAACCCGAAAAAAAAATTATTGTCAATATGGCAGACATCCATACTTTTTGTATTTATTTTGCATCAATTTATTATTCACCCTGTATAACTTCAAAAATGCATTTCTTCGAAAAAAATATTCTTGTCCCACGTGGTCTACAACATGGACTATCGAATACCACAAACCGCATTAAAAACAAAAATAAAATAAAAAAGTTATTAGAAATTGAATTTGGAGCTAAAAATTGCTTGTCCCGTTTTTTTTTGGCGAGCAGTTTAGATGTAAAACTATTAGGCTTGAATGTACCTACCTTTCGTGCATGTAAAGAGGCATAGACGCCGCAGGCAATCCTAAATACGGTAAGTAAGGATGAGCCATGGGCCAAGAAGGCCTCAACATTCTCTCGTAATAAAGTTGTTCTTCAGATACTAATGGTAAAGGGTAGTGCGAGTACGGTGACGGATAGCCGGCCATTTCTAAGCCGACCGGCACTTGAGGTATTCTGTGGTCTTCAGGTCTGTAAGGTTGAAATCCGCTCCGGCCCAAGTCAGCGAGCGTTCCAGGATATCGATCGGCTGGATTCGAACTTAGCCTGGCATCGACTGCTGACCGGGCCGTCGCGTACGTTGGAACTTCGGAGACGACCTGTTTCGATTTTTCCGGCGCAGGTTCTCTTTCTCTAGTTCTATGAGCAGTCGGTGGTTCGACAATCGGTGCTGGTTCCGAGCCGGGTACGTTCTGCTGCGCAAGATTTCTGAGCGCAGCGGCAAACGAATGGTTGTACTGATTACCACCTTGTCCTGGAGCTGGAGTAGAGACGTGGCTAGAAGCTGGGGTTCTGGGCTTTGGGGTCGCAACTGGGGAACCAACTGAACTTGGTGGTGGTATGCCGTTGGTCGAGGCCGAAATGGCCGGAGGTAGTTTGTTTGGGCTACTAGGTACACCTAGAAAAAAAAAGAGAAACGTTTACTAAACAGTCATTGATAAACTGGCAGATTTTACAGGTAAATTTTTCAAAAATTGAAAAAGAAAGCGAAATGTGGTTTGATATGGAAGAAATAAAATTTTTAGAAGTGTTTTTTCTCACTGGCATTTGGTTTTACAGACGTACAAGTGAAATTATTCCATTATTTCAAATGAAACAAAACCATCATGGCAATTACCGCTGGCTACCACTCATCATCCTTCCAATACCTAAGTAACGTTATCACCTTATTTTGTCTATAATAATACTGTCCCGAGTGACTCTACATATAACCCATTAGCGCTTGTTTTGGTAAAGCAGCTATTCGTGTATAGACTATCAAACAATGTTTGGAAATTACAATGCAATTATTATTATAGTTTGAGATGATATTATTACAGGATTTTGATGCAAATGATGGACAGATAATCTCTAATATTTAAATTAAATAATATTTTGATAATAATATGGACATCCTTGCCTATGTATTCAGCATTAAATTAAATCCAAACTGGATCACCTATGAAAAAATTGCATGTAGAAATGTTTGTAAATTTAAATGTGTTAATTTTTTTTTTTTTGCAGTGAGTCAAAATGACACAAGAGCAGTAGTTGATTTTTGATGCAAAATAAAAGATTACTTTTTGATAGAAACCACAATATTATCTTTCAAAAACTTTCATTATATATAACACAGTTTTAATCAATAATTTTGAATTATCCTATTTGGACCTATAACGTCCTGAGCCTCATCAGTCTCAATTTACTATAACAATTAATGACATGATAAATTTACGAACAACTACATATTTTTTTTGTCCTTCTAATCATTATTTTAACTTTCTAAAATCGTGTTGAAACAGGCGCGAAATCTTGACCATTGTTTTTGGCTTAGCTACCGCAGCCATGAACTGACATGATCTGTGGGGGAGAAACTTCGACCCTCGTTTCACCTTCCAACCCTCAGGGAGCCAACCGGTCGATTTATATTCTTGGAACTGAACTGATTGGGGTGATACCGGAGTTTTAATCTAAAAACTAAAGTTGAATACAGCAGGTGACAATAATTATTATTGGTAATTACTTGATCAAAAAATCACCCAGAAAATTATTTTAGAATTAAACTTTATTTGGAATGTGATTTTGGTTACTCGAATATTTTATATTGTGTATTATAATAATTTCAACAACGCAAAACGACAATCAGGAACTCGTGAAGGAGGTTGAAAAGATGAAATAGTCATGGTATCTAGAGATACGATTGTAATAAAGGACCTTCTTCAGAATTAAGGCTAAAGGTTCAGTACAGATATTTGTGGACAATCACTGACAACTTGACATACATAACAAGTAGATAAATAGGAACCCAATAAATAAAATAATGAAATATATGTACAGGGTGTTTGGCGGAGGTTAAGCCAAACTTGGTGGGCGTATAGATAGGCCAATTTCGAAGATATTTTATCAATACACTTATGGCCTTAAGTTCCCCTTTTTTTTATCATTGCTTTCGTATTGTTCTCAAGAATTTGCAAACATGGACTTTTTAACTTCTTCAAATTTTTTTAAAATGTTTATGAATATATTTTTCGTGTGTGTTTTTGGTCTGCATGGAAGTTACAGAGGTTAAAAGGTCCATTTTTGAAAATTCTTGAGAATAATACAAAAGCAATGACATAAAAAAAAACGGGGACCTTAAGGGCACTAGTATATTAATAAAATATCTTCGAAATGAGCCTATCTATACATCCACCAAGTTTGGCTAACCCTCCGCCAAACACCCTGTATATGTATACAACATTCTTCGTCGCTTAGTTTCTGACATAATCTTGAAGATATGGAAGTGTCCTGTGATTTCTGATAACTAAACCTCGAACGGATCCATCAGTGGGTTTTACTGTAGATAGAGTGACCTCTTGGGTCCCATGCACCTCAACCTCAAAATTTTGAATAGCACCACCCCTTTTGTGATACCTAAAATTAGACATTTTTGAGTATAAATATTTAATTCTAGGTATCACAAAAGGGGTGGAGCCATTTAAAATATTGAGATTGGGGTGCATATGGGGTCCTGTATAACATTTGTAGCAAATAAGGTTTTTCTAATTTTTTACTTTCAGAGATATTCGCATTGAAAGTTTTCAAATTGACACTCTGTATATACCTCTGTTCCTCTGTGAAAGTAACTTTACCACAAAAGGACCAGAAAAATGCGTGACATCTGGCCGTTCGGTGCAATGATGTCGCGGTTTTTTCAGGAGCGAAGGATATCAGCTATAGTGGAATCTCAGGTGAGTCCTCATCTTCAACAAATTTTGTAACTAAACCTTTGAAAGTATGTGTAAAATTAGACTATTAGAGAACTCAAAACCAAAACCGAATGTTGCCATTCTGCCATATTAGCAGAAGATTATGACATTGTGGCCATCAATTAGACCTGGTTATGGGATGGTGTTGCTAGTCAGGAATATTTTGATGACAGGTATTTGTCATAAAGAAAATTTATTATAATTCGTCACAAGCATTTTGTGACATAGATTTTTATCCTAATTTGCCCAGACTATTGTCAGTCCAGGACCAGAACTACTATAACCCAGAAGGTGGCCAACGAAATATTACTGTACTGGAGTATTTTCTTATAGGGCAGCCAGCTAAGTCTTCAGTAGAGTGGTCGTGGATAATAAATAATATAGGACGCCACCTGTTTTAGCCCTCCAGAAAGAAAGTATCCGCTCTTAAATACAAAACAGGAAACAGCCAAAGAACTCTCATAGCCAAACCTAACTAGAAATAAGAAGCCCTGACGTTGACACTCTGAAAATTGGGTTAAGAAATTCAATAAAATGAAAGTTCTCCAAAGTTAAGACTATAATATATGAGGTTTCTTTATTATTTAAGTATTATAATTATTACAATGCAATATAAAATGTGTCCTCTAAGTGTCCCACATTCAATTCTAAATTAATATTCATCAGCTGATGTTAAAACTTAAAAGTGGCCATCTGTTTACCCAACTTATTACTAAATTAAATAATTCAAAACACAAATACCATGAAAGGTTTTGAGGTGCAAAGCTTTACTTAATAAATAAGTTATACTCTCCAGTTACTATAGTCCCAATAGTCAATCATAGAGCTCAATATAAAAGGTATTGATTAATAATATATAAAACTAACCTATAAACTAAATATACCTCTATTCGTCCAGGAATTAGGCTATACTTTAAATTGCTGTCCATGAATCAGAATCCACTGTTGATAATAAAAAGGGGCTTACCCAACAATTGTTCCTTCAAACTGCCAAAACTTACAACAGTACCTCGAGCATTACCTTCCAAAAGATAGAATGTAGGATGGTCTAGTATAGTCTATCCTGTAATTTGCTACTAAAGGGGGTGGTATAGCTAGGCCTCGAAACCAGGACTGGGTTTGGGTACTTAGACGGTCATAAGCAAGCAGATAGTAGAACAGATAGAGGTAGATGGAAGCCAATAGAGACACGTGTAATCAATTATAGGGACGTATAAGCAGATATGAGCACATCTAAGCGGTTATGAGCATGTGTGAGCAGTTATGAGCAGGTGTGAGCAGTTATGAGCAGTATAAGCAGTTATGAGCAGTAGGAACAGTATGAGCAGTACGAGCAGGCCCTTGTTGTTGGATGGCCTCGGAGTGGAAAGTTAAATCGTAACCGTACCGGTCAATTTTAACTTTAATTATGTTAAATCGGTATAAAGCCAGAACGGTTGCACAGCGTAAAGAAGGCAAAACGAAACTTAATTTTAAATTTAAAGTGAAAGCAGGCTACTTAATAAATCGGCAGAGCCAAAAAGAAAAATCAACCACCTGGTCAGGAATCTTCTTCTAAAGAAAAAGGTTACGAATCCCCTCCAGCACGAATCCAGAATCCTGTCAATTGAGAGAATTCTAACGACCTAAGTTGAATTACCCAAGACGTCATTGGCATCTTTGTCAATATGGAACTGGTAGAACCAATGGTAGAACTTAATTTAGAGTAATGTAAACTTTCCAATTTAATTAAACCATCCAAACTATTTTTCCACCCTGGTTTATAGGATCCCAGCTCATCAGAACCAGAACTCAGAAATAGCTGTCTAGCTCTCAAAAACAATAAATCAATTATCTATTTTCAAAATTAACCAGATGGTACCGACAATTTTAGGAGGGCACTGAATACATTTTCGGTAAAAGACAAAAACCATAAAAGCAGAAAACTGCACATAAATACGCTACTTATTGTAAGGTTTCATTTTAACTATTTTTTTATTCCTATATTTGTTTATAAGAAGAAATCCTATTTTATTGTAGAAATTTACTATTTAAAATTATTTGCTTGGGACAACAGATGGAGCAACCAATGAGTTCTATGTTTTAAATGTACTGGGATTCACTTAAGCCTAGTTCACAGTGATAATAATATTTTAGTAAACGGACACCTGTCAACAACTTAGAAAAATTAATTTTATAATATTGATCACGAATTAATTTGCTATATTGAAATCAAGCCAATAATCGGATTGAAATTTGAACCCGTAACATATTTCATTATCAGGAACGACCGAGACTAGAGGTGAGGGTGTTCTTCTGGGTTTAAAAAATAATCTAGTCTACAATGAAATAAATATTAACTTTAATACAGAATGTATATATGTAAGGGTAAAAGTTAAGTAGCAAATATTTCTGTGGTATATTGTTCTCCAAATGTCAATGTTGCATGTCACGAAAGATATTCTAATGTTTTTGAAAAATTTTTAGATGATGCCTGTAATTTCAACTTGTTGTTCTTAAATCTTAGAAGTGCAGTCATACAAGGATTCATCTACTGAAAAAATCCCAGTGAGCCTAAATTTTGTTTACACCTTTATTTTACCTCAAGAATTAATGTATTGAAAATCCCTACCGATATCTTGTTTGCATTTCAAGATATTCAAGTTCAAATATCATAGAAATGAGTTTTTCCTAAATATTTTGCTTTCGGTATGTCCTACGACTATTTTCGCTAAAAATATTGGAAAATTCTCTTCAAAAAATGTTATTCACATATTTTACGTCATACCAACTGTTTCTACCTGATACGCGAGGAAAACAGTGGGTAGCACCCGTTTCCACACCACCCCAGAGGTGAGATGCAAGGCGCGTTTTTTTTAAATTGTATTTTGTGTAGTTACCGCCCGGAGGATTTAATCGTTGGCTCTCTCTTTTCTTTCTTCGTGCTCGTAAGCAGCTCGCACCAACAATATAGTGAAATTAATTAAACAGTGTATGCACGTGATCAAAATTAATGACATAAGCACGTCGCAATGTTGCCGCTATTAACTTTCGTTTTACTTTGACATACCATGTCTAATAAAATTTGTTATCACTAAAGCAAACAAACATCGATTTTTATATGTATAGATAGTGTATTATGGACACAATCTAAAAAAACTACTCACTTTTCGTCGTAAATTTGATTGCGAATAGAGCTAACATCAAGGTGATCTTGATTCGTAACCCGCTTCTTATGTGGACGTTTTTTCTTTGCTGAATTTAACGCTAAATTATGCCTAACTTTTTGAGAGATTTTACATTGGATTTTACTCACAGTGGTTATACCAATATTCAGTGCAGCTGCAACACGCTGTCACGCTGGAAAAACATTCCCAATTAAAGCCCCAGAAGATTTATATTTGATAGTATCAATATACTTCACCTCTCTAACGCTATTTAATGGCAAAAAGGGGCCCCCATTATCTCGTTCCTGTTCAAAGAAACTAATTAGAGAGAGACGCAACGAGTTTCTGAGTCTGACTATTCAATGACTTTGGCATTTTATAGATACACAAATAGAAATAATTTCAAATTATTAAAATCAGTAACTGCAGATTTGCAGCAATATTTGGCAACATAACCCATGAGTGCCAACCTAAATGTCATTTTATCGGCCGATTCGGTTAATAGCTAACAGTGTTCTGTCTTTTTTTAACTAAGGTTAAATAAAAAGGAGAATGAGCTCTCAGCTTGAAACGAATTTTAATTTCTTACAATTTGCAATTGGCAATAATTTCGACGTCATTGATCACGTGCATACACTATTTAAATAATTTCACTATACTAGGGGGGCTCGTGCACTGGCCGCCTAAAGCGATCCCGATAGTGAGAGGACCCACGCAAAGTATTGTCAGTCTAATACGCGATCCAAGTGCAGGATAAGCAATTCACCACACTTCTGTCAAGAAAAATGAGGGGACTTTTAGATGCTACTCTGTATACTCCTTGCGACAGCTTTTATGCACAGGGTGTCAAGTTATAAAGTACCACTACCTGTAACTTTTTCATTTTTGATTGTATGTACATAAAAAAGTTACAGGTGGTGGTACTTTATAACTTGACACCCGGTACTGTTACCAAATTTTTATCCCTCAAACGTTCTGCATGTTCATCTTCTCTTTCCGCACTTGCGTTTCTCAAAGCATCTATACCGCTTTTCACAGTTACTGTAACACCTTTCGAGAGCAATTGACTGCAAATTAAACAAGACTCTTCAATCGCGATGGCTAATTAAATCACAAAACGAATCGTCTAGACTTTTTGCCAAATAGATTTGAACTGACCTACATCGATAGAATGCGATTAACCGGTCGATCATAGTTGACAGATAACCAATGAAGCAAATGTCATTTGGCAACCAATCGTTATTAAATAACGTTCGTGATTTTTGACCTTGGATATCTGAAAACGCAAGCGCGATATTGATGGGGACTTTTAAGACATTATTTTTTGAGGTGAAATAAAGGTGTAGACAAAATTCAATCGGATTTTTTTAGCAGATGATGCTTTTTCCGGCCTAATACAACTGGAGTATAGGTGATTTTAACGTTCCACACTTATGCAACATCAATTGTAGTAAAACAATGCGATGCAACATTTTTCAAGTTAACGCAATGCAATAGAGTTCCTAACCATATGCTTAGATTTGGTAATCACTGCATGTTTTTGGATCTGAATGTCCCATCGACCAGGAGGATAATTATCATCCAGCTCTGGATTTCTCAATGGTATTGAAAGAGCAAGAGGTGCTAAATAATTTCTATCAAAAGGTATTTACTTACAATTACTCAAATGCTGATTTCTTATCTTTGTATTGTATGCTGAAAAATTGTAATTGGTCCTCAATATTTTCAAGTGCAGATGTAGAACTTTTATAGCAGGTTCTTTGAATGCTTTAACAAGACTGTCCCAAAGCATGTTGTAAAGACCAGAACATATCATAATGTACTTCCCTCTTGGTATTCGCCAGATTTAGGGGCAAAGGTGAAAATGGAAAACAAGTCAACATTGTAGACTGAATAAATGCCTTGCGAATGCCTGAACAGCGAGGTCAATATTCGCAACTGCGTAAGGACATCAACATAGAGTAAAAATCAAACGAGAAGAAGCCATTGACGTCATCGCTGACAAAGAAGGCAGATTTCCTTTTCTCTGGGTCCCTCCTATTTAAAGTGAGACAAACGATAACGCGTGTGGCTTCTTCTCGTTTGATTTTTACTCTACGAACAAAACGTGAGTTTGTTGCCTACCAAAAGATTACAGAGAGTAATATCAGTTCTGATCAAAAAAAAAAATTGGGACTTCATAAATAATAAAAAGTCTCATACAGGAATCCCACGAGAAATGATCTATGAAGGCACTATCTATTGTGAACAATATGACATTGCACAGACATTTGCAGAGTAGTTTCAGTTGCTATATCAGAAAAGTACCTTTGATTGATGATGATGAATCCCGGAAATGGGTTGGTTTTGCATTCTCATCTGTCACTGAGGTTCAGGCAGAGATAAGGTTCAGGTTATTGAGAGCATCAAAAAATTAGAACAAAAACAATCAACTGGTGTTGTGGATGACATATTAAGGGTTGTGCCGACTGAAAGATACATGATGTGATCAACTTAATCAATTTGATAAACTTAATTGCCATAATTTACTAAAACTTATTGCATAATGACTTGATTTATTTTATATATTTCACCAAATATATCAATGTTACAGCTTCGCTTTATGACAGGCAGATCAACTGTCAACAATCTCTGTATGTTCACAGAACATGCAGCAGCTGCTATAAAAGAAGAAGTTCATTTGAAAGTTAGACTAGAAAAGATGAAAGGTAAAATTAATTAATTAATAGAATAGCGTCAACGAAGATGATTCGATCGTCCGAAATATGTGTTTAAAAAAAAACTATCCAGATCGATTACCAATTTCAAATCAGTTTTTACTGAATTATTTGATTTTTTATTAAATTGCAACAAAATACTTAATATTGTGACATAGTGTGAGGTTCTGTTTGGAATTAAGTTACACTAAAATATCTATAATCTAGAACCAAACTCTTATTTTGTTTTTTTTTTTTTTCAATTCAAACTAAGTTCATCCCTGTAAGCACTGAGCCTACAACCATAAAAGGGCGGAATATGAGCACCTAAACTTCTTCTCCCGCGATTTTTATCGACTCGCTGGCATATAGAGGTAGAATAAAAAGGCACTTTTTATTACCTTCCGGGCCGTAATAGTAGGGATAAGAATAGGGGCTGCGATAGGCGGGATACTTCAAGTCGAGCAGTTTGAAATCCATATCCGGTCTTCCTTCGGAGGCACGTTTTTCTCGCACTCCGCTGCACAGCACAATACACTTTTTTTCTTTTGTCCCGAGGTTGGTTTTTTCAGTTCACATTACTCGACGGTTCAATTAGCTTGTGAAATTGTCTTTTGTGTTTGAGTTTTTTGAAGAGAAATTCTATATACTTTTAGAAGCTGATTTATGTCTGTTTATATCGAGATTATTATTTATAAAATATATTAAGAACTTAATAAATCTAGCTTTTTGGGTACAAATATTCAAAAGTAGGTATATTTGGTATAGTATTTTAATGCAGGATCTGTTTTAAACCTAAATATTATATTTGAAAAATTACCTTAAATCGCTTGAATTAGGTACAAAACAAAAAACAGATAATTCTATAAATTGATAACTCTAAAACAACTCATTGAACTGATATATTAATTTGCTTTAATTATTTTTTTGCAATAATGACCCCTCTCTTAAAGTGAACCATGGCGGTTTTATAGAGCAAATGAAAAATCTTTGTAGGCAGAAAATTAAAATTAAAATCGTTACCAAATATTTACTCGAGAAAAAAAAAATTACACAAAAAATCCTCTTGTAAAAGTCGATTCATAAATAAAGAACACAGATTGGGCGTACGAATAAAACACGCTATCTCCGGAACAGGACACGTCTATTGACGCGACAGGACACTGGCAAACTACTCTGGCGATACTTGATTTCCGCAAAAGGGGGGATCTCTTTCGGTCCTTTTCGTTGGGGGATGCGGGCGGACGGGGCGGTTGCATTCACAACGGTTGTTAGTTAGACTGCAGAGATGGACTTTGACGGTTTATCAATAAAAAATTAGCAACTTGAAACTGAATACTGCATTATTCAATAGTTGACAAATTGTCTAATTCTTTTGGAAGGTAGTTTGTTTGAAAAATGGTCTGAATCAGTAGATAGCGCTTTGATAAGTCGAATTTTTTTTTTTTTTTTTTAGAACATGTTCACCAGTATCTCATTATCTTTCATCACTAAGTTTTACCTTGTTTGCAAATTCTTTCATGATTTTTTTAGTTATTTGCCCTAATTTTTAAATTATTAGAATATTTATGTTTTGCTTTATTAATACGTAATTATTGTTGGCAAGTTGCCTGAGTGGCCTAATTGCTAACCGACCCAAATTACAGTTTAAAATTTGATCACTTGACCGTCCGTCGCATATCCCAAGTTTAGTCCATTATGCATTAGCCCCTAGGGAATTTATGTGGCCAAAGTGTAAAGGGGCAAACAATCAATCACTTATCGCTGTGCAGATGGTTATTATTGAAATCGATATTTAAACATTGTAGCCAATCTCCATATTATAATAATACCCAAATATTATATTTTTTGTTGATAGCAGAAGGCATGAAATATGTATCTGAACAAAAATTATTTACACAAATTTTGAACAATAAATAAGCAATTTTAAACAAATTACAGATGCGATAAACAACAACAACAACAAAAAGATTGCACAACACAAGATTCAATTAAGATAATAAATAACAGGATTGGGGATAACGGCTGGATTTTTTACGTTTTCTTCTTAAGATAGCGGGTAAAGCAGCCAAACAAGTTTATTTTTCTAAAATAATTCTTTATTACTTATTACTAACCAAGCTTTCGATACTTTTTTGTATCTTCTTCAGGGCTAAAATTATATAAGTTAAAATTATAAAATTACAAAATTGTGACTGTGTCAAATGATAGTTTATGAAAATCTAAGATAGGAATGTAAAATCGGGTTTCCTCTAAAACTAACCGTTCAGGTTTTATAGCCTATCAAAGTTGCAAAAAAATCAATTTTCAACTGTCAATATTTCCAAAACAGTTGAAGATAGGTATATGACATTGTGCATGAAATATGTCAGAAATTTCCCACAGAATCCATAAATGTCATAATATACAGGTTGATCCATTTGAAAAAACCAAGTTGATAGCGGAGCTATTTTTGAGACACCCTGTATAATGAAAAATATATCAAAAAATTTCAAACAAAAAAACATCATTGACGTGTCTGAGCGATTTTTCAAAAATTCTTCCGTTTTCAAAATAAGGAATTTATCCGTTACTTTACGGACACAGTGTATAACAGGACACAATATAAATTTCAATGAAGCTAAAATTTTACACCAACAAACAAATTTAAACAAAAGACTTTTCCTTGAGATGGTTGAAATTAACAAAGAAAAAAATTCAATGAACAAAAGAACAGATATTCAAGATTTAAGTTCCATTTTATGTCACGCCTCTTCTACGAAATCAATACGTAGTCCTTTCTCTAGTCACTAGGTGGCGCACAACTTTAAAGCAGCAAGTCAAAAGTTGTACTATCATCACTCACCCTAATGTAGGCCGAGTTCGTTTTTGTCATCTTTTTCGTCGATTTGCTCCGAAATTTTGACAGGCACGTGACTGGATAAGACAGTTTCAAGTTACAAATCACGTGCCTGTCAAAATTTCGGAGGAAATCGACGAAAAAGATGACAAAAACGAACTAGGCCGTAGCTATGGTACCCGTAATCCGATACGTCATTGTCATTCTTTTTCTTTGTGCTAACGTGGCGGATCATAAATTTATTCTCTCAACAAAATTGTAATTAATCCTTATTATTCGGTTGCTTAATGACGGGAAAACGTTCCAGAAGTGTTTCCTCTTCTTCTTCTTTTAGCGAGGGCGAATTTCTGAGGCGGAAAATTGAAAAATACCGACGCAAGTATAATGACCGGAAGTAGCGTGGCCGTTTGCGACGATCTAGATCTAGATCCAACTCGATGGCTAGCAGGAGGAGGCGTAGATACTCTTCATCATCAGCATCATCCCAGTCAGGGACGATTTTCCCAAAGAAGTTGGGATCCCGAAGTCCCCTTGTGGTGGATACACAATTTGTTGATTGTGAGAGCATTTAGAGGTTATCTATTTGCTTAGGGGCCAACCAAGGTCATTGGTTGTATCATGTTTGTCTTGATTACAGATAAATATGTCGTTTGTTTTCCAAGAATGCCGTCGGATTGATGTGTAAGTAACTACGATACTCTTCATCATCAGCATCATCCCAGTCAGGGACGATTTTCCCAAAGAATTTGGGATCCCGAAGTCCCCTTGTAGTGAATACACAATTTGTTGATTGTGAGAGCATTTAGAGGTTATCTATTTGCTCAGGGGCCAACCAAGGTTATTGGTTGTATCATGTTTGTCTTGATTACAGATAAATATGTCGTTTGTTTTCCAAGAATGCCGTCGGATTGATGTGTAAGTAACTACGATACTCTTCATCATCAGCATCATCCCAGTCAGGGACGATTTTCCCAAAGAAGTTGGGATCCCGAAGTCCCCTTGTGGTGGATACATAATTTGTTGATTGTGAGAGCATTTAGAGGTTATCTATTTGCTTAGGGGCCAACCAAGGTTATTGGTTGTATCATGTTTGTCTTGATTACAGATAAATATGTCGTTTGTTTTCCAAGAATGCCGTCGGATTGATGTGTAAGTAACTACGATACTCTTCATCATCAGCATCATACCAGTCAGGGACGATTTTCCCAAAGAAGTTGGGATCCCGAAGTCCCCTTGTGGTGGATACATAATTTGTTGATTGTGAGAGCATTTAGAGGTTATCTATTTGCTTAGGGGCCAACCAAGGTTATTGGTTGTATCATGTTTGTCTTGATTACAGATAAATATGTCGTTTGTTTTCCAAGAATGCCGTCGGATTGATGTGTAAGTAACTACATCTGTTTGATTTTAGGTTTATCCACTTCTAATGCACCAGAGGTCGTGGATCCTCTTCGAACAGACCTCGATCAGAGGGTTTTAAGTGCTATGGGTGCAAACCGCAGAAAGCAAACGTTAGTGGGAGAACCACTACATGATATTCTAGCCAATCATTGTGGTTTATTGTTGAAAACGGAATTGTCTGAGGATCAGTTGAACAAGACGTTGGCAAAATATCCAAAACCAGAGAATTGCCCTTTTGTTGTTCCTCCCAAGCTGAATGCTGAATTCAGAGCTGCTCTAAATGAAGCTGGTCGTAACAGAGATGAGAGATTAATTGCTCGTCAAAAAGAGGTTGGTATCGCCTTGACAGCAGAAGCAAAGGCCCAGTCAATTCTATTGAATCGTTTAGATAAAGACGAAGAGACATTGAGTTTAATTGAACATTTGGAAGATACATCTCTACACAACACTGATTCTGAGTATAGAAAATCTTCTATTTTAAGTTTTTCTCTGAATTCCAATAATCTTAAGCCTGAACTTTAAGAGGCATTAGCTGAAGCTCCTTTGGACACTTACCTCTGTTCGAAAAAGATTTAGGTGAGCTAATCAAAACGGCCAAATCTATTGGTAAGTCAGTAAGCTGATCTTAGGGCTGGCTCTTCCAAACCGAAGTATGCACCATGGACCCTCAAGGCCCATAACCCAAACTCCTTGGGCCCACTTCGACAAAAGAAATATAAACCTCAACGCCAGAGTGGGCAAAACAGGTACTATCAGGAATCTCGATTTCCAAAGGAAGAAGAGAGGGGGGAAAAAGAGAGGCGCAGGAAGTTCCCTCCGAGGAAGTTCAACAAGTAGTAAGTCAGTTTGGAGGAAGATTATCTGCAATTAAATCATTTTGGTTAAGATAAATCTGATGTGATCCTTTGCTTCTTTCTTGGTTGGAGGGCTATATTATCCCTTTTTCTAGGCCAATGTTGCAACATTTGGTTCCAAGGGAACCAATTTATGCACAAAAAGAAAAACTGAATATGACACAAGCGGTTAAACACTTGTGTGATATTCGGGCTGTATCCAAGTGTCAGCCCAGTAATGGACAGTTTATTTCGAAAATACTTACGTTTCGTTTTTGATTCTAAATTGTATCAATTTAATGTACTTCCTTTTGGGCTCTGTACAGCACCTTGGGTGTTTACTAAACTTTTAAAACTTATCGTTTCATTTCTTCGAGTCAAAGGTTACTTACCAGTTGTGTATTTAGATGATTTTTGCTTGTTGGCCGTACCTACAGTAGCTGTTTAAATAATGTTCAGAAAACTTGTAATATTTTACAAGAATTGGGGTTTGTCATAAATATTAAGAAGAGTGTTTGAGTTCCGGATACTTAAGTGTCTTGCAAGTTTTTAGGTTTTATTTTTAACTCAGAGCTTATGACCTTGAGCCTTCCAGATGACAAGTGTAGGCATGTCTTGAAATTACTGAATAGTTTTTATAAATTGAGGTCTTGTAAGATTAGAGATTTTGCCCAATTATGTGGAGTCCTGGTTTCAATGTCCAGCAGTAGCATATGGCTGGGTGCATACTGCATACTAAGTTATTTGAGAGGGCAAAGTTTCTTGCTATGCAAAACTCCTATAAAAATAATTATGATAGTTCAATGACTTTCTAAAGATTTTATTGTTGACTTCAGATGGTGGTTCAAAAATTTGGAAACACTCTTCTCCAATAAGGCAACATTGTTTTTCGTTAGAGATTTTTTCAGATAGTACTCCAGTAGCCTGGGGCTTAGCATGTCAAGGAAAGACTTCAAGTGGTTTTTGGAATCCTGATGAAGCTAAATTACATATAAATGCACTTGAATTGAAAGCTGCTTTCTTTGGAATCAAGTGCTTTGCTTCAGATTTAAGTGACTGTGAAATTTTGCTTCGTATTGACAATACTACAGCTATTTCCTATGTTTTTATATCCTTTAATGTTAATAGAATGGGGGGAGTGCAGTATCCCATATTGAATAATATTGCGAGGAAGCTTTGGGTGTAGTGTGAAGAAAGAAGGATTTGGGTTTTCACTTCATACATAATGTTAATGAGTTTTTATAATTTTACTTTTGTTGAATTTCTCTAATTATTATTAGACTAGATGTGGCAACTCCGCATTTATAAAAATGTATTTTTGTTAACCTCTAAAGGTTCGGTCGCTGTCTGTTAGGGGGGTGCGACCACGAGAGACGCGACAGGTCGCCAAAATTGTCAGCCTTTTTTTATTTAAAAAATCCTCTTTGTACTCTTTCGAGAATAAAACCGAAAGTAAAAATAAATAAACGAGTTTCAATTAACTGAGCTATCGAGGAAGAAACACATAAGTTCTTCAAATAATTTTGAGGCTGTCCAAGAATCCAGGACTAGCAACTTTGAGAATGAGTGCGAGCTTTTCCTTGCTGCCTGACCCAGAGGCTGCAAATGTAGATGCCTTCACTATTTCTTGGTCAGATTCTGTCTTTTATGCTTTTCCCCCGTTTTGTTTGCTCCCTAGAGTACTGAGGAAAATCAATAATAATTCCGCTACAGGGATTGTGGTAATTCCATTCTGGCAAGGCCAAACTTGGTTTCCGATGTTTGATAATATGTTGATATCTGAATTGATAATTTTTGAACCTGATAAAAAATTACTTATATCTGTTGACAGGCAACCCCATCCATTATGGTAGAAGCTTACCCTGGCAGCAGGGGTTTTGTCAGGAAAGCATTTCAGCTGAGGAATATTCCCGAGGGCTTCATGGATATCCTTTATTCATCTGTCCGTAGTTCAACAATGAAACAATATAATACTGCATATAGATGTTGGTGGAAATTTTGTCAACTAAAAAATGTTGATGTATATTCTGCATCTGTATCTTTAGTATTAGAATTTTTTACTGTCCATTTTGTAAACCAAAATATGAGTGTACTTGGGACCCGACCTGTGTTCTTGATTACCTGAAAGGCTTTTACCCTAATGACGCTTTATCCTTAAAGGATAAAGTTTTTTGCCAATAGATTGGAAATCAAAATTACAGACCAAATCAAGACGTCAGCGCTGAATAAAATTCAACCTACTTTAATTTTGCCAAAGTTTGAAACTGTACCAGAATTATGTGTTTCAACAGTCCTAGAATGTTATTTGGGGAAAACAAAGATTTTTAGAAAACATGAGTCTCGACTTCTCATTACGTTTAATAAACCTCATAGAGCGGCGTCTCCCCCAACTATTAGCCGTTGGATTGAGTTAGTCGTAGGTTCTAGTGGTATAGACACGTCAGTCTACACTGCACATAGCACGCGACATGCCAGTACGTCTCTGGCATTGAGTGAAGGAGTTTCAGTTGATGTGAATGGTCATATAAATCTCAAGTATTTGGTGCTTTTTATGATAAACCTTTATCTTCTGTCAGAGACAAGTTTATTTTCGCTAATGCAGTCTGTTCTGTATAGTTATCTGGTTCTTCGGATTTTCTTTTTTGCTACCTACCTACATTTATGTGTTTGGCACTACTTCTGTACCTATATATTAGTTCTAGCCGTTGCTTTACTTGTATTAAGTTAGCTTCTATGAATTGTAGGTATATTGTACCTACCTAGCTATAACCGAATAATTTACAACAAAAAATAAAAATGTGCTTTACTTTAAACATCTACATATTGATTTCGTAGAAGAGGCGTGACATAAAATTAATAAATCAAACGAACTTACCTTGTAAGTGATATCGTTCGATTTATATTTTATAAACGTCTCTTCATAGAAATCACCCACCCTCCCATTTCATTCTCCCTGTATAGGCAATTTTTGTTTTTTGTTGGTGGAGCTTTAAACAAGAATGACAATGACGTATCGGATTACGGGTACCATAGCTACATTAGGGTGAGTGATGATAGTACAACTTTTGACTTGCTGCTTTAAAGTTGTGCGCCACCTAGTGACTAGAGAAAGGACTACGTATTGATTTCTATGAAGAGGCGTTTATGAAATATAAATCGAACGATATCACTTACAAGGTAAGTTCGTTTGATTTATTAATATATTCATATATTTTAACAATTTAAAAAATAAACCCGTAATTATAACCTTTACCTTAATTATTAAAAAAACCAGAAATGAAAAACTAAAAATTAAACATAGATAGCACATAATTTACCTATAACAAAAGACTTTGTTTTGACAACAAAAAATTTTTCAAAAAAACTTTACAATTCTAACTTTATAGTCCTTATACAAATTTTATACCTATCTATGCAGTTTTTATTCTAAATAATTCATTTACAAGTAAGTCACAATTTTGTAATTTTATAATTTTAACTTATATAATTTTAGCCCTGAAGAAGATACAAAAAAGTATCGAAAGTTTGGTTAGTAATAAAGAATTATTTTAGAAAAATAAACTTGTTTGGCTGCTTTACCCGCTATCTTAAGAAGAAAACATAATAAATAACAATCTCTGACAAAAAGCTATATATTTATGCAACAAAAAAGCTATAAAAATTATAGGTAAATGGAAGAAAAACTTGGGTCATTTGACGACTTTTGCAATAGCAAAAAGAACAGTACAAATATGATAAACAAAGTCACAAATGAAGACGGAAACACTAACAGTATATCGATAAAAGCCTAGCAGAAGAAATAAATCAAAAAAATCTAGCATCATTCAAAAATAAATTTAAAAACAGGAATAAAATCTCAGGAAGAAGAATATCTAGAAAGCTTCAAACTGAGATTAACAAATCAAAAGAAAATAGACCACAAAATAGAATAAAAAGACAGTTTACATCCCTAAATATATTACAACAAATATGAAATAAAACTATAAAAACAATATTTGGAATATTGTTATCTATTCTTGAACATTAAAACATATTGAAGACATCAAAGAGATGGACCTTATTTACAAAATACAAAAAAATGTGAAATTTAGGTTGGTGTCAGTTTCTTGGAACTTATTTGATGTCTGTGATAAAAAAATATGAAATGGGGTAGTATACAAGTGATTTTTAACTACTGCATAGTGATATACTCGACGTATCGTACTATTTAGTGTTATCAGTTGCTTTGTAAAAACCACAATACACTGGATTTTTTTTTTTTAAATTTCCCCTTAGTCCCGCCCCTACGTGAAAATAAAAGTTCGTGACGTAGTTAGTTTTTCCAATCTGGCAACACATCACGGTTTTGAGAACGCACAATGTGCACTGACATTAACCGTCAAGAACAAAACGTCAAATTTTAACGCCAAAGCTGTTTTCTCGCGGTGGAACTGGTTCGACCCGGTTCAATTAGGTTCGAACCTGTTCATTCTTGCGTTGAACCAGTGACGTCACATTGAACCTGGTTCAAAAAAGTTCGAACCGGACTCATGGCTTGTTCTCCGTTGACATAAGACTGTGGTTCAAACCTTCCATTTTCTCGCGTTCACAAGTGATGACGTCATCTACAAATTGGTTTAAACCGTAGTTCGAACCATTCGCCCCGCGAGAAAACGCCTCAAAACAAACCACGACAATATCACATGTCAC